GCGTTTATTTTTTCCATTTCTTTCATGTGCGGGGCCTTCATGGCTTCTATCATGGTCCTGAGCACATCTATTTTTTTGTCAGTTTCTGCTCTAGAGTCTCGAATCGTGACTTCCATTTTGCTCACTATCTCGATGGTCATCTGGGAAATTATTTCTGTTTTGTTTTTCTAGATTATTTCTGTTTTGAATTTTTCTAGAGCCTGATTGATCTGTTTTGTTACTTCCTGTGCTTTGAGTTCAGGGTGTCCTGGTGGTTCATTATCAGCCTTTTTGTCCTCATTTGCCCTACTGCTTGCCATTGGTGAACTGGAAGTCTGTCCTTGTGTCTTGCTTAAGTGTTTTCTCATTTTAATTTTTGTTGTCGGACTGTCCTTGGTTTAATCTCTGGAAATCTTCCTGATATAGTTGCGCCCTAGCTTCTGTGTCTCTAATGACCCAAAGACATTCTCATCTTCATAACATCAGAGAAAACAGTTCATCAAATCAACTGCAATGCATTATCCCAATTGGTACAATCAGCAACACATTAAGATCAAGCACAACTTTGACACTGATCACCGGTGGTAGTCACTAGTCTATCACTCTTAAATCATTTGAATTAAATTGAAATCAAGAAGCAGTCCAGAACATGGCTGCCATGAACAAAATTTCAATATAGTGTATTTACCATTTAATGGCTCGGACAGAGCAAGGATGCAAGACCCCTGATCTCAGTTAGCTGATGGCTGAACCCCATGACGCTGACTGACCTCAGGCTGCAAGGCCCAGATTGAGTTCCCCAACCTTCTGAATGGTTGAACTCCACAACGTTCTATTACAGGTTTCCCACACCCTTTCTTTAAAGATGTTCAAAGTTGGGAACTCAGAAAAATACCCTTGATGACCACCTCTGCCTCTGCAGAGTGGATCCAAAGACTGGCACAGTCAGGAGGGCTGAGAGTGCGAGGTGGGGGGCTTATGGGGGTTCAGGGGGCCCGCGCGGCTATCTTCCTGGAGCTTGAGCGATGGCGGCTGGGTTGGGAGCAGGTGTGGCTCTCCTTCCCGCAGTGGATCGGGGCCCAGGCTACCTTCTCGGCGCTTGAGCAGTGGCAGCTGGGTCTGGAGCAGGTATGGCTCCTAGTTTCTCATTCTTTATGGCTGAGTAGTACTCCATTTTTTTTTTTTTAAATACATCTTCTTTGTCCAGTCTCCAGTTGATGGGCACTTGGGCTGTTTCCAAGCTTTAGCTATTACAAACTGGATTGCACAATTTTTTTGAATGTACTGAATTTTATATTTCAAAATATTGACTATTACATGAGTTTAATGTCAGTAAAAAAATTCATTCCATGAAATATTAAATTACTAAAACTAAAATAAAAAGGTGAAATAAGGATTCTAAGTAAACTTATATCTATTAAAGAAATTGTGTTTTATTTATAAACGTCTTTCCATGTAGAAGTCATCATGCCCATTGGATGGGAATTGCACAAAAGAAAAATGAGAGCTTACTTTTAAAATTCTGGGGCCAGATATTTAGCTCAGTGGTGCTGCTGCCTGCCTCTTAAGTGCAAGGACCCAAGTTTGGTTCAAAAAAAACTTTTTTTTTTGGTACAGGGGATTGAACTCGGGTCCTTGCACTAGGTGGAACCACTGAGCTAAATCCCCAGCTCCCCCCCAATTTTTTTAAAATTTCTTTTCAATTCTGTACTGTATTCATAAACAATATATTGAACTGTAATAACAGTAAACTTGTGAGCATTAGAACAGAGGCAATAAAAATTATATGCTAAAGTACAAATTATTTGTATTGTATTTTCTAAAGTTTTAAAAATTTTTGGTACCTTCATAACTGGACTAAAAGAATTAAAGCGAAAATAATTTAAAATGTCTGTAACATTGATATACATACCAAACGTGATGTACCTTTAATTTGATATCAAATCCAGTTTCACCTCTTTACAGAGGGATTTAGTGTAACCACACCCTCTCCATGGCTGAGGGCAGGACCTGGACACCTCCAGCTTTGCCATCCAGGAGTGCTCAATCTAAAGTGGGAAGAGAAGCAGTTCAGAAAAAGAAAAAGAAGAACTGCTTTTTCAGAGAGCCAGAGAATAAAGATGTCCTAAAAATAGCTCGGAATGTGGTGTCCTGAGTCTGCATTTAGAACTAATTCTTCAGTCCCAGTGTTAGGAACTGCCAGACCAGGCCAACGGGAGGCCGGTGGGATCAGTCCCTGGGAGGCCAAGGATGTAGGGCAGCAGGGGCTGGCACCTTCAATACCAGCACTGCAGTGAGGTCTGTCCTCAGACTGTACGGGTACAGGCCTGGGTTCCATCCAGGACATGCTCTCTGCATTGACATCGCTTGTGTGCCAAAAAACACAGACAGCTTTGATGCCTTTTCATTTGTGCTGAGTGGAGACACGGCTGGACAAGGGTCCAAATCATTCAGGCTTTCAGCTTGACCCTCTGGACCATTTCTCTGAGTGCTGCTATTTCCTGGACCATTGAAGAATCCTGCCCTTATCCAGGTTTGGTGGTATATTCCTGTAATCCCAGCTCTCTGGGAGCCTGAAGAAGAAAGATCACAAGTTTGAGTCTGATTAGAACAATTTAGCAAGATTCTATCTCAAAATATAAAAATGTAGGGCCGGGGATTTAGCTCAGTGGCACCATGCCTGCCTCACAAGCACAAGGTCCTGAGTTCGATCCCCAGTACAAAAAAATTTATATATATCTCTCTCTCTATTATAT